CACTATGCAGTATTTGTTCTTTTGTGACTGAGATATTTCACTCAGCATAATGTCCTCCAGGGTCACCCATTTTGAATAATATTGCATGAGTTCCTTGTTTCTCAATGCAGCATAGTAATCCATTGTGTGAATATACCACAGCTTCTCTATCCATTCATTTGTTGTTGGGAACCATTTAAACTTTTATGAAGCGCTCTGATTCAACAGTGATGGGTATTTGATTGAGTGGTTGGTTTGTAACTTGACATGCATGTCATGAAATTGCATGGATAATAGTGAAACCTATGAGAGCCAGAATGCAACAGGGCTGCCTTTGACCTAATACAGTCTTATCACATTTCTGTTGTTCTAGTACTAGGGAAAATATTGCTTTCATTCTCTGACAGGTTTCTGCCTTACACAGATTCTGGCTTTTGCAGGTTTTACTAGAGGACATACAGTTTACAGGCATCCAGACTAAGACTCAGAGGTTAATGTTTTGTGCCAGTCTGGAAACCCTCGACTTGGCCATGTTCTGTTGAGCTACTTTATCATACTGAATGTTTTAAATCAGGACGATAATAAAGATAAAAGACACCAGCAGAAGTTCCTCAAATCTACCTTACAGAAGCACTGCTGCATTCCAGGAAGAGGTGGGAGAGGTTAATGAAGTAAAGTGGTACCTAAAGAGAACACTTTCCCAGCTCCAGAGGTGACCACTGAGCGGCATTCAGAGTCCTGTGCTAACCTGTTGAAGCACTCCACCACCTCGGAGAAAAGAGCTATACACATCTATCCTTACTTTTCAACCCAACCCCATCCGTTGGCTTCTGCCTCTTCCTGCAGGCAGTCTTCCAGGATATACAAGGCGTTCCTCTTCTCTGGCTAGCTTAGTTGCACGTGCAGGATGTGCTTGTGGGCTGACTTCACCTGCAGAGACTCAGCTGTGGCCAGGGGCCTTTGTGGGGTCTGTCTGCTTTAGAGGCCTCATCTTCATAGTACCCATGGGGTGAAGGCTAAATGGAGACCTGACAGGATCCAGGCCACAAGCCCTGAGAAGAGAAAGAAAATCTTTGACGGTCCCTGCCTGAGGAAAAAGGACCTTCCAATCTGGAAGGTACTCTCCAAAGACCCAGGTAGGTGACAGGGCACCTGCAAGAGCTGAGTGCACTTTCCTCAGGCTCTGGACTGGGGAGCACAATCCTTTCGGAGACTTCAAGACTAGGGGGGGTTGTCCCCATGCTTTCAGTTTGAGAACTACCTCTGACCTTTGATCGAGGGACTGGCCTCAGATTAGGGATATTGCATCATCAGCGATCTCAAATTGGAACACAAAATTAGATGGTTCTCCAGATCGGAGCACACAGAGCCCGAGTCCCTGACCACTGACAAGCACTTTCCTCACACCGCAGGCTCCGGAGTGTGAGCTTTAGGGACGGCCGCCATTTCGACTCGGTGTAAAAGGTTGGCTGGACGCGAAGGGGGCGGGCACGGAGAGCTGCCATGTCGGGTGAGAGCATCGGAACCAGACTGCCCATATCGCATGCCTCGTCCACCATCTTAACTAAGGGCAACCGGAAGCTGCCTCTTTCCCTCCCACCTGCTGGGCTGTGGAAATCAGCTGAGTTCTAGAGAATTAGAGGCGGACACTTGATCCCAGGTAGTTGTCAAGTCTTAACAATGTACTCTTTTAGCCCAGTTAATTCCACCCCTAAGAATCTGGCCCAAGAACAGTTTGACTACAGTTGAAGTTTCTGTGTGGGTGTTAACTTTAGAGATCGAAATTTTTAATTATCTACCGTGTTAAGCAGAAGGAAACAAAAAATAGTAGCTAACCTTTAGGGTTATAAATTTACCCATAAAAAATGTAAATAGGTCAGTGCTGGACAGATTGTATGTCTGATTTATCGGAATTTGTAGCGCAGTTTCTTTCCATTAGGCCATCAGAGCGCCTCCTCCTTTGTTTGGATATCCACGACTCGAGGTCTATTTTTCTGCACAGAGGAAATAGACTGCAAGGGGAAGTCATTCAAGATTGGGATTCAGTGGTGCTGCGGCTCAAAAGTACATGTTCTGTTTTGGAGAATCACTACCCAATCTATTTAATTGGCAATTAAACATCCGTATTTTAAAATAAAACTTGGAATAGTACACAAGATGCTATCAGATGATTTAGGAATGTTGTTTACCATGACAGCCAACAGGTGTCCAGGCAGTGGGGACATGTCTCTTCTGCAGACCAGATGGGAGCTCTGGTGGCGGAGGGAATAAGGAGTTGCACTGCTGAGGCCCACTCAAAAACAGGCAGTGGAAATCCACCAGCTGTGAGATGGGCCATCTCGTCCCATGAGGTATTCAACCTCTGAAGACCTGCTGGACTATGACACATGACTCTTTGGGGGGGGGAGGGGGAAGAGGCTATCCATACTGTTTTAATTGTTGTATACCATCAAATTGGATCTGACAGGCACAGAAGATTGCCCCACCTTCTCCAGCAGAGCATCTGGTGGATTCTGTGAGCCTTTGGTTTGCAGCACAGCTTTCTGCCACTAGAGCTCCCTCTTCCATACTGAAAAAAAAAAAAAAAAAGGGAAACTACTATGTAGTTTAACAGAAAGATACAGAACAGTAATACACTATTCTGGGGACAGCTGAATTATCTCTATGCACAATTTTATTCCTAACCTTATATAAACAGGTGCTGTCAGAGTTAGTGATTGTCACATAGGGCCCTGCATTACACTACGGGCCTACAAGAGGCCAGAAGTGCACACCTTACTTGATATAAACTGATGACAGGTAAAGGAGACACACCAACATGAAAATTACCAGTAAAAGCTATGTTTATTTTCCAAACAATTTTATTGAAATGTGCCAAGAGTACATGAATAGCACAAATGTATGAAGAGGGAGGAAGAAAAAGGAAAAAAAAAATCACATGTACAATAATTTTTTTAAGTGAAGGTTAATCTTGGGAGATATCAGTTCCCCTCCCCCACCCCCTCAAGACTGCCGGCATTTCTGTTATGGTTAAGCCTCTACTAACCTAGTATTAAAAAAAGAAATACAAGAACTTCTGGGGGGAAATAAAAACACCAAAAAAAGAGCCAAACCCACCAAACAAAAGAGAAAGCAATCTAAAAACAAGAAACAGCAAAAAACGAAAATTGCTTTTCCTGCTCTGATGGGAATCTTCTTGGACACCTAATTAGGAGGCATGCTGAGCAGTGGAGAAACACAACTTCAGGGTGTATGGATATGGCCCATCTGCAGAAGAAAGAGAAGACAGGGTTAGCCATGCCCCTTTCATCCCAGCTCATTTCCCATTCTGCACACACTTCATTTTTTGCTGCTCAACAGCATGGGTCTAAGTTGTCACTGTCAGAAGACTTCAAACAAGTTATAATGCACAAAGAATTTCTCACCCTCTTCTTCCCCACAGTCAATCTCACTACACTGTAGACATAAATCTCATCTGCCCAGGAAGGTGGACAAATGGACCTGGCAACTAGTGTAACCCTACTACTCTGCTGAGAAAATGCCAGATCCCAGGAGGATACACTACAACTCCAAGGTGGAAGAGTGGGTAGCAGCAAACAGGCTCCTCTCCTGGTGATCAGGTTTCTCCTGCCCGTGTCTGTGTTGGCAGCATGGACTCTCTGGGGCTGTCTGCTCTGGCCCTAAGCCAGAATATATTAGGCAGCTAGGGAAGACAACTGCAGACACACACTCACTTGGGTTTTTCATCTGGTAATGGTTCAGGAAGCCCAGTGTCTCCAGGGCATCACTCTTGGATTCCCACTCCAGCAGCCCAGAGGAGCTGCGTTCACCTGATTAGAAAGCAGGAGACAAAGATTCCAGTCAGCTGGAGCAAGCAGAACCTGATGCACAGACACTGGGAGAGTAAGGTGGGAGCAGCATACTCACTCTTGCCTGAGAACACTTTCACAGAAGATGGCCGCTTCACTCCTAGCTCGTCACAGATCTACAAAGAGATGAGACTCAGAAACAAGTGGTGCCAGAAGTCAAGCAGAGCATGCCCCATGTGACACTTGAATTTGGCTGAAAAGGGGTTTCTAGCTTTTCATATGACAAAAGATGAAGTCAATGTTGCCAAAGACGGGGAGCTCTAATAAGGAGTTGCCATGCCAACCCTTAGAACAGCATTTCCAATCTATTAACTCCTCTCATGTGATTTACAGCCTCTGAAAACCTTCTGAGGGTCACCTACAACTTGAGTTGGTTCTGACTCCATGGTATGTAACCACAGTATTAACAGCTCCACACTACTATGTGAGTGCAATGGCATTAAGTGTTTCCTGAAGAACATCCTATGTCCATCTGTGCCCACCAGCTGCAGCTGCCCTGATTCCCTCACCACTTCTCATGTAACCTAAGCATTCTGGGGCCTTGTTAAGGTGGATGTTTCAAGCCTGCAATTTCATGTTTTAATCTGAGAAATCTGCCTTGCAATATGCTGACAAGCAGAGGAAAAGAAGAAATTACTGTTGGCAGAAACCAAATCCTCCCATGGGATGGCTATGATTTCAACTCCGTGACTCCGCCAAGTTCCCAAACCTGGGAATCTTTGTGGCAGTGGACTGCCTCACTGCATCCTGAACTCACAGAAGAATGGTTGGTAGATTCAATCTCCCAACCTTTAACAACGCTCTGCTTTATCCATACCACCACCACCAGGGCACCTATTGTTGGTAAAGGTCTAGCACCCTTCTCGCCTATAGACAGGATGCCAGTCTGCCCCGGCATGACTTAAACCCAGGGCCTGGCAGACCAGAATTCAACAGATTCCAAAGGCTAAATATACTTAAATGCCTGTGTGCCACTAGCTGAGAAACCTCAACAGTACCCACCTCAAAGAAGTTCTCCTCGGTCACCTCCAGGGGAGCATTGAAGAAATGCAGCACATTGCTTGGGTGTTGGATGCGGTTCTTGGCTGCCTGCTCCGGGGTGGAAAATCGATTGTTTCTTGAGCCATTAAAGTCTTTGTAACTGCAAGACCCGTCTTCTAGCCCGTATGACTGACCAGGCATGATGGCTGGTTGCTTGGAGACACTATTGGAAGAAAAAGAAGAGCCCTTTGTCAGATTCAAACAAAGTTGTACCTTAAGCCCCACACTGTGGCCACCACGTAGGAGCACAAGTGGCACTACACCCGTCTGACAGTGCTGAGTGCCTTAGGAGAACCTTGCTCAACAGCCAATACTAAGCTGCATTCTCCCAATGCTTCGGAGGACAGCTGGACTACCCTCACTCAAAAGCTGTCCAAACAGTGACAGTGTGCAGGGCAAGATCTGCTCTCTTTCTCTTCCTTTCCCCAGGGTAGGGAGATGAAGGAACTTACCAGACATTCAGCTTCTGCCCAAACATGAAGTTGTTGTTGAGGTGGGTGATGGCCCGGTCGACGGCATAGCCATCAGCCATTTCTACCATGGCAGCCCCTGGCTTGCTTTTCATGAATTTCACCTTAGTGGAGAGAAGACAGCAGCTACAGACAGTGCTCTGCTGAGCTTCCACATGCCCTTCTACCCAATCGAGGTTACAAGTAGCTAACTTCTTCAAGACCTAAGCTTCGATTTCTCTACCTGTGGCCAAAAGCTCAGGAGCACAGTGACCCAAAGTGAGCTCTCAACCCCAGGTGGCAGCAGAAGCCAGGACCCACTACTAAACCATTTAAAAAGAAAACAAACAAAATTATGCGTGTACAGAGTACAATAACCACCTATTCCCTAAAACCTTGTTATATATACACAATTATGGTATATCAAACACATTAACTTAGAAAATGAGTATGTGACAGTTCTAGAGTCAAGCCATTTTACTTAAGTTATTGCTTCCACACAAGGACTAAATAACTTGATTTATTTTATCTAGATCTCATTTGTCCCCTTATGAATTACTATGAAAATTAAGTTATACATTTCTACTCTTGTCAGTCAGTCCCTGGGGCAGACATGTAAACAATGTTAAATTTGTTAATGTCTATTAGTAACAGGTTGGCCAGGCCAAGGATTGCAAATTCAGGTTGGTTTGACTCAATTATTTCCTAAGGCAGGCAGAAAATAATGTGGCTAGATCACATTTTACACAGGAAATCCTTTCACTGTAATCTTTAATAGGTAAGACACTCATGACGTGTTAAAATGTTAAGTATTCTCACTGCTCACAGAAGTTCCAAAGCTTAGGGTGTAACGCAAATCAGTTACAGGACAATGGGACTAACCCTTGAATCACAAAGTGCAGGGTAAAGTCATCATTACGTAACTGTCAAGCCAGAAAGTAATGGCCCAGGCAAGTTCACACAACCTTAACCATAATGGGTCAGCCTTAACTCTGGCCCCACACCTCAGTTTTCATTGCTGCCAAATGTACATCGTTAATGCAAAATGCTGAGATCAATTTTCTGTGTGTAGTATGAAATGTCAAGAAACAAGACTGTAGGTTTAGTGGGGACTAGACGGTTAAGTACTTTTATACCTGGTTTCTTTAATGCTAACACAATCACATTTAATGAACAAAACCTGTCTACTGCTGGTGCTCTGCAATAATGGTGTTACCCACTATGTCTTTGTCAACAAGCAAGAGTCTTAAGCCTCCCTGACAGGGACACAGACCTGCCGGGTCTACAATAAAGTTGGGGGACCTAACGGAAGCTCACCTTCTCCACATTGCCATACAAGCAGAAGACATTGAAGACGCGATCACAGTTCATCTTAGACTGATCCAAGCCATAGACCATGAGCACGGGGCTGTCGGCGTGGGGGCCATACTCGGGTGGTGGGGGAGGGGATATGCCCCTACTGAGGGACATAACG